ATAATTTTTATATTTAAGTTCAAAAAAAAAAAAGAAAAAACAATAATAATAATGTTAATCTCACTTTTATGATGAAGATAAGACAACACCTTTACAATTTAAAGGTGTTGTATATAATGAGATGAAAGGACAGATGGTAATATTTTAAAATTTATCTAAATTATTTATTTTCCGACGGAATGTTGAGTCAAATCATGAAAACTTTATATGTTAGTCAGACGCAGGATACTTGTATTATTCCCAAGTTCAACAATCTATGTATCCAGGAACAGCTTATGGATATAATAGTGGTGGTGAACCAAAGAACATCACAGATTTAACGCATCAAGAACTTTTAGATTTTCATAAATCTCATTATCATCCAAGCAATGCAAAATTTTATACATATGGTATGTGTGTATTATCTCACTTAAGATTAAGATTTAATTTATTATTAATTTTAATAATTTTAATCATTAATTTAGGCAACTTTCCATTGGAAAATCATTTGATGGCTATTAACAATAAAATTAAAGATTTTACAAAATTGATTCCTAATAAAGGAATTAAAATAGTTAAATCATTTGATAAACCTCGAAGAATAGTTTTTAAAGGACCTAATGATCCAAGTAATTTACTTTAATATTCATTCTAAATTTAATTAATTTTCTAATATAAACAATAATTCAATTTTGAATTTAGTGAATAATCCCGAAAAACAGACAAAAATGTCTATCTCTTTTCTTACAAATGATATAACAGTAAATTCTATATTATTATAAAAACTAGTTGTTATTTATAAAAGTTTATATAAGATTAATTTAAAAAAAAATTTTTTAATAGGATGTTGTTGAAACTTTTGCTTTGAGATTATTTGCATATCTTCTTTTAGACGGCCATGCATCACCAATGTATAAAGCTTTAATTGACACAAACATAGGATCGGATTTTTCAGAAAATACTGGATATGATTCATCTACAAGGTAGACAAAAAAAATAACTAGTATAATCTTTAATTATATTCAAAATAACTAATAGTTAATATATATGTTGGCAAATAAAAAATTTAGAATAAGTTCTTTATCTATTGGATTACAAGGAATGAAATCACAAGATATATCTTTGGTAAACTTTATCATATTTTATTTACTTATATCATATTATTATTTTTTTTATATACTATTTATATTAATTTTAATTAGGCTGAACAAACAATAAGAAAAGTTCTTGAAGATATTCATCGGAATGGATTTGATTCAAAACGAATTGAAGCAGCCCTTCATCAAACAGAATTAGGAAAAAAACATGTGGGTCAAACTACTTAAACGTACATAAATCTATTTTTTTTAAAAAAAGGATTTTATATATATTTAAAATTTTTATAATTATAGAAAACCTCTGATTTTGGTTTAAACATAATGCACAGTATAAGTTCAGGATGGTTTAATAGTTGCAATCCTGCTGACATTTTAGAGATTAATAAGGTTTTTTTTTTTTTTTTTTTACAAATTTTCTCAAATTCATTTCTTAGTTCTGTAATTATGTAAGTAATGTTTAATATATATTTTTAGAAAATAGAAATTATAAAAGAAAGGATAAAAAGTGAACCATTCTTTCAGAACCTGGTGGAAAAATATTTCTTGTCAAATCTTCACACTCTTACCTGTATAATGGAACCTGATCCACGCTATACTGACGAATTAAATCGAGAAGAGGAGGATAGATTATCTTCAAAAACCTCTGCTCTCAATGAATCAGAAAAGAACAAAATTTATGAACAATCTATTGAACTAATTGAAAAACAAGATGCCGAAGAGGATTTATCGGTTTTACCAAGTTTACGTGTTTCAGATATATCGCGAGAAATGAAACGGATTCCGTTAGAGCATCATGTTTTGGAAGATTGTCCGATACAATGGCGAACTACTGCAACTAATGGGATTACGTACTTTAGGATGATAAGTAAAATCGATGGATTACCGGATGAGTTAAAAATTTATTTACCTTTATTTGCTCAGGTATATATTCCATTAATTACGCCAACACGAATGTTTAATAAAAAAACTAATTTTTATTGTCAGGCGTTGACATCGTTAGGAACAAAGGCAAGATCTATGGCTGAAATAGATGATGACATTCGTCTTTACACTGGTGGTATTAACGCATCACCCTTTGTATCTACCAATCATTCTGGTATGTATAAACGATAAATGTTTCTAGCTTCTTCATTTTTATGATTTTGATTTTTGAAATTTATATATATGACATCAGACCTTGACCAATACGAAGAAGGCATCATAATAGCTTCACATTGTCTTGAGATATAAATATTTAAATTGGAATATCTTGGATTTTGCATTAAAAAATTACTCAACCCTGTTCATAATTTGAGTTCTACATTGGAAAAACCAATTCGTTAGAATTTCTGATTATTTTGATCCGGGTCAAGGTAATTTTTGACTCGTGATCCGTCAAGATGCTGACTCGGGTAACAACTTTAGTGAAAACTTGTTACCCCTGTACAAATCAGAAGAATCCGAAACAGAATAATCGTTCTTTTTAATGTAAAGCGTTGTATGTATGAGTTTTCTTTTAGCGATACTAAAAATTATCATATTGATAAATATGTTTAAAATGAAGTTTGAGCTGATAATTTTGATTTATGCTTCCGGAAAGTAGATTCGTTTTTTTTAAAAAAGACTACCAAACTTTAGGATTCTAGTATGACAACATATATGCGAACTTGTTTCTGGTAGCCATTTTTTATACGTGTAGTTTGGGTATAAACACTTAATATGGTAAAATTTATTTAATTCAAACTGAAGTTCTGAAGTTTGAGTCGTAATTATACGCTTGAAAAATAAATTCGGTTTCAGAAATTAGATTACTTTGACTTAAATTCTTTCAAAACCTACTATTTTTTTTTGGATTTATGCAACAAAAAATAAAATATTGCGTCAATGATAATAAATACTCGGCAAATTACTGTATAATCCTATTTGCGGGATCAATTTCATTGCAAAGCAGTTTATTTCTTATTTAAATTTGAGTAACGCTAAGGGAAAATTAAACATTGGTTTAATGATAAAACCAATGTCCCATTTTACCTTGGCGTCACCCATATATTTATACCGTAAACTGCTATATACAAGACCCGGGTCTAAAATTTTAAACCTAAATTAGACCCGTGGGTCACTTGTGATCTATAGCTAACGTATAATTGGCTATTTCAGCGATTAACCAATTAGAATACAATTACAGTTGATACTGTCTAATTGCATATACTCTCTAAATGCATAAAAAATTTTGACTTTTAATTATTAACGCAAAGATGGTTCTTA